GGGGGGGGGGGAGTATTCCAACAAATTATTTTGACGATTCAACAAAAAATTATTTTTAGATCTGTATTTAGCAGAATTTTTAGACCTTTCAACGAAATCGTTCTTTCCGTGTACAGTTTTCTTTGAATTATCTCAATGAATGAGGAAATGAAACGAGGACCTAAGAGAGAAAGAGGGAATAAGAGATCAAATGGAAGCATTTGTTTCAAAGAACGTCATAGATGCGATCTCCATCATACGTTCCTCATTTCCTTTTGGTCGATGAAGCGCGTCGTAACTGAATACTAATAATTAGCGCCTTTAGAGATTTGCGCCTCTTCTTCCCTTCTCTTTCGCCTTATCGATATTTCCTTTTCCGCTTTTTTCCTCTCTTTCTCTTTTTTTTCTTTTTTGCTTGAGCTCGTCCCGTTGCAACGGGGAGTGCAAGGAAATCCTGAAGAGAGCTTATTATTATCCTAATTATACAATACTATCATGAATGATCTCGCGGCTCACCCTCTTAGAGCACAACGCTCTCGCTCGATCGTTCGCTTGCTTGCTTAACCGCTCCCGCCCTCCTCCCCCCCCCCCGCCGTCCATGCCACCCATCCACCCTATCTTTCCCTCTCGCCGACACGTTTCTCTCGCTCACCACGTTGCTCTTATCCTCTCCACTTGGTGGTCGAAGAGTGGCAATTCTAGCACTCGGGCTTTTTGTCAAACAGACTACGGAACTATAACGTCGTCTCCCTCGCGCACCCCATTATGCGGCCAGTCTCTCATATCCCGTTCTCTCCCCTCCTCTCTCTCTCTCTCTCTCTCTCTCTCCTTCTCTATGTTTCCGCGGGTGTCTGTTTTAATTAGGCTCTTCGTAGATACGTGTGTTGCACGTACATAAGCATCGCGTGTGCAGCGCCAGGATATACGACGTTAACGTATAGATACGTAAGCGACGCAGTCTACCACTACCTCCGCGCGCCACATTCCGCCTATACTCGGCGATCCGACGAGCTTGAATGCGGTCGATGGGTGGTTGAGTAAGGATTATAGGCGCAGGTAACACATGTATAGGGCAAAGGAAGGGGGGGGGGAGGAGCGGCTCGCCGATGGGTGGTGTCGAGGAGATGAAGAGGGACGCGCGAAGGGATGATGGAGGAACCTCCTTCTCTTTCGATTCTTCTCGCGTGCATAACTTTCTCCGACTGACTGCTGATAAGAGCACGCGAAATTATCTTAATTGGCAGTAAAACCAATTCGGAATGATCGAACGAAGAGAGTCCTTCTCCCCCCTCCCCGTCTCTCCTCCGCGCTCGTCTACCTCCGCCGTTTCTCTTTCTTTCAGCGGCTTTCAATAGGGTGAACGTTGCGGAAGAATGCGTTGCTTTCTTCGACAAGAGAGAAGGTTCCCTGACCTTCCCCAATCTCCAAGTATGACGGATGAAAAAAAAAACGATGGCTATCTTGATAATAAAAAACGGAGTCGAGATTTCATCGAGAGAGCAAGTACGGGAATTTATCGAACGGCTTGACGTATGCGAAAAATATCCTGAATTACTCCAATTTGGGTCGCTAAACATTGTCATATTGTTTCGTTTTCTCCAGCCAATGAGGTTCCAATTCGCCGGGCGGAAGCAATCTTAAAAATTGCTCTCGACGGACGCTATAAGCGAGCAGTTTTGCTTTACGTTGTACAAGCATTCAGCGATGACGACTTGTGCAAATCGCGCTCTCTTTCTCTCTCTCTCACTCTTTCTCTCTTTCTGAACCGTTTCACCTTTGCATCTCCGAGGGATCCAACAAACTACTCTGCGCTACTGATTCTACGAAAATACTCGGCTGATGCTAATACGCATCTAAAGAGCTTTACCCAGAAGCGGAGAGAGTCAATGGAAGCAGAGAAAAAAAACGTTGACGTAGATCGCGTTTTCTTAGACCGTGCAACGCTTTTTTTCTAGCCGCATTTATGTGTGTGACGACTAAAGGTATATTAAAAGACACGTGCGCCAAGTATAACGCAATTATTATGAAAACTCGAAATTCAACAAAAAGCGTTTCGCGCAAGCCTATACAGAACGGCATATTCAAAACGACGGTAAATATAGCCGCGAAAAAAAAAATACGGTCTGAACTTGGTATTAATAATAATTTCCCTCGGCGCGTACGCGCGTTCGTATTTTTCATATTTTTCTTCTCCTTCCACGCGCGTTGTTTGCAAGGAGGGACCACCCTTCGCGTTTCCGCTTTCTCGTTCGAAAAAGCTCGGATCGCCCGATTCCTGTATCAATTATACATCAATTAACGAGTCACGTTTGTTTTCCCGCATTAATTAATGAACGTAAAGGTAACTCCGGGGAGGGGGGGGGGACGATTTTTCCTGCCGTTGAGACCAAAACGGCCAGGGGATTACGTAATTTCGCCGTTGACTATATACGTCACCGGCTATAGAATTGCGAGGGTGCGCGCGTCTCGTGTCTTTCGGCGTGGCCGACGCGATAGGTTTTTCATCGTCTCTTTGCGTCCGTCCGCTCAACGTACTCTCTCGAGGAGAGGCTTCGCACAGGGCTCTCCACAGTGCGTCTCGTCCCCTTCCTTCTTTTTTCATCTCCTTCCGCTTACGTCAGGCCACTAGTTAGCATCGATCTTTAATTAATTATCGATGACGCATTAGCGTTGTCCGTCGCGGGGAAGCCAGGCGGGACAAGAATCAACCGCGATGACGTAGAAAGATTTATTATTAATTGACACCTCGACGTGTGCACATCGAGGCGAGAGCCATATATTAAAGCTCACATTAACTCCCCTGCCCCCCCCCCCCTGTGTCAAATCGCAGGATTGAGAAGTAACTCGTTACTTATAACGAAGTTACAGTTACAATTTTTTTTTCAATAACTGTAATTTAACTTTGTTACTTTCTTTCCATGTGTAACTATAACTTAACTTAGATTTTTTAAGTAACAAGTAACTAATTTAATATAATTATTTTTACAGTTACTTTATATATGTCAAATCCTCACTTTTATGGATCAAAATTATGCAACACTTTCGCTCAACTTCATTCTTCACCTATTCGTAATGTTTATATTGTAATTATGCGAAATATTTAAATGCTTATATTTAAATATGCGCATTATACTTTTCTTTTTTAAATAAAATTATATAATATATAAATGTAAATCAGTCTGTTTTTTTTTATAATACTAATGTTGTTCTATTAAGAGTAACTGAAAATAAAGATTCGTTACTTTTTAAGTAACTGTAACTGTAACATGTTACTTTTCAGAGTCGGTAACTTGTAACTAGTTACTTTCACAAAGTAATTTTCGTTAACCCTGCCGAATCGTTATACATAAATATTCAAATTGTATCAAGTGTATCGCATTTCTGCGGACGAAACGATATCTGCGTTTGTCTAACCGTGCGCTTTTCTTACTGCGTTTCAGGGAGTTCTACTACATCCAAATGGAGAAATACGCGAGACAAGCAGTTTCGGAGGGCGTGAAGAACGTCGAGGATCTCCGAGTCGGTGGCGACTCCGAAATCTACCGGGTTCTCAACCTTCACTACAACCGTAATAACCACATTGAGGTATGGGGTCCCCAGGTGCGCAACACGAACACGCACACGCTGCATTTTGTTTTATTTTCCTATCGATATATTATTTCGCGAGTCGAGAGAAAAGAAGATGAGCATGTATATCTTCGCCTTCACAGAGTGACGTCGGGTCAATCGTCGAACAATCGCGGGTTTTTACGAGATTAAGCTTTCGGTGTTAGTATTTATTATCGTACGTTTACATAAAATATTTCACGTGCGTCTTTGTGCGTTCATTGTAACTGATTGTGTTATGCACGTTTTTATCATAAAAAGTATATACGTAAGATATTTATTGCCTGATTAGGTATCAAAATGAGAGATTCTACTTGTGGCAGTATTAATTGAAGGACTCAGTGTACATGCGAGAAATTTAATCTGCCCTTTTAACATAAATAAACAGATCAATCTCAACGCTGAAGAAAATAAAATTTACATAAAATTTCCTCAGTCTTAAATTGCATATGATGTTTCTATTGTAGTTTCAATTAATTCAATTAATTGTTGATTAACCTTCAATTAATAATCGATTAACAGTAATTTAGTATTACTTTAATAAAGTGTGTAACATTGTGCTTTTCTCATATTTATATGACGATAGATAATTTGGAGTAAATAGAACAAAAAATATATAAAGAGTACGTTGAAAATTAAAGGAGAATTATTATTATCAACAAAGTTTCGTATTATTCGCAACGTCGCATGTCGTGACGATTCACCATGACGTTTCTTGTTGTGTAAAAATATTTTGCCAGTATGTGCTTAGCTATCGCAGTGCAACCGCTAAACGCTAACGGTAGCGTGGAACTTTCAGGTACCCACCAACTTCAGGTACGTTGTGGAGCAGACGTTGAAAGAGTTTTTCAAAGCGATCCAGGGCGGCAAGGACTCCGAGCAGAGCTGGAAGAAGTCCATCTACAAGGTGATCTCGAGACTGGACGACCCGGTGCCGGAGTACTTCAAGAGCCCGAACTTCCTGGAGCAGCTCGAATGAATCAGGAGGTCGCGTGGCTCTTGCTCTTCGTGGTGCGCGGGCTCGCCCGCGCTCGTCGGCTTCCGAAACTAATCAGGAAACGACCAAAAACGAGGGAGGATCGGCATCCGCCAGGAGGTACACGTCCTTCGCGTAGTGCGTGTTCAGGTATCCTTAAATAACATATCGCAAAAACGAACGAGGGCTAGGAAGGGAGAGAGAGAGAGAGAGGAGACAACACGGACAGAGCCAAGGAGACGGAGGCACCATCGACGTCCGTGGCCGACGTCAAGATGCCAACGAAGGATCAGGCTGTGACTGAAATCACGAAATCAAACAGGAAAGACGGGAAGAAGCGTACCGCATATACACATGTGCACACGCATGAACACACACATATACATAGGCATACGTCCATTGAAAAAAAAAAAATAAAAAAGTAACAAATACTGCGAATCTACGGCTGACGAAAAAAAAAACTTCGACAGTCGCCAAGTGTCGAACGCTCATCGACGTTCCTCTTGTTTCAACCGAGAACGAGCACGAGAAGGTGATTCCTGGGACACGAGACGAAGAAGCACGACGAAATGCGTGGTCAACGAAACGGCGAGAATAGAATTTTAGCGTCGATTTTGTCCGATCTGTTTGTAATGTAGAGTATAATTACTTCGTGTTTACCGCCTAATTTTACATCACACGATAAGAATAGGGATTATTTAAAAGAGACGATAACACTGCTGGGGTTGTACTCACAGAGAAAGGGATGGAGACTTTCGAGAAAACGTTTGCGAGCATATCCAAAGATTGACTTTTAAGTCTCGTGCGTCGCGCGGCGATTCCTCCTCTGGTTCTGGAAACGAGACCCGGAAGCGGAATCCTCGCCGACCGGGAAGCGACGCGGGACGAGAGCAGCGTCTCCCGTCCCGCGCCGTTTCCGCGGAGAAAACAGTTTGGTGGATGAGGAGAAAACCTTGCGCCAAGACCATTTCGGATAATCCTACTTTGAACTCTGCAAGTAGCTTCGGTTTCGCGAAGATCGATGCTCCCCGATAAAATTCTGAAGAAATTGAGACTTCTTATCGCCGAATGAACACCGCAATGGCGATTCATACCTCGATAAGAGGGCACCTTTGCTGCAATCTATAGCACACACACACCCACACACACACGCAAACACACAGACACACCCACATACACACACACACACACACACATGCTTTCTTCTTTCTTTCAGGAAAAGTAAAATCTCCGATGCATTAAGTTGAAAGAACATGAGGTTCTTCCTCGATGCTTACCGTCAACCAGAAATAAGTCACCAATCTTTTCCTAGACTGTATATTAATGAGTTTCACACCGCGTTATAACCGATCAACCGAGATTCGAGATCGACGTGAAAATGCTTGGCTGAACTGAAATTATACTGCGCGTGAGAATCGGAATAAGAAACACGGCGCGAGGAAAAACTGGAGATCGTGCGCGCATCGAATACCAAAGAATCGACTTCGCGAGAACGAAACGCGTAACGTCGCATGAGCAATCGAGCGACCGCGCTCATAGCGATTACCGCACAAAGAAACCTGTTCCTACTCTGCCGAGGAGGAGATTCACTCCTCCCGTCTTTATTTTTTTCGTTCTCCCGCATCCCTTCCGCTTTTCCTTCCCCCCCCCC